GGTATTTATTTCTTGTCAGCTATGAGTCCAAGGTCGAACAAGATGTAACTTCATATACACCTAATAGGAACAGTTCTGTGTAAGCATTGCTATCATACACACTTAATAGGAACAGTTCTGTGTAGGCATTGTCATCATATAAACTTAATAGGAACAGTTCTGTGTAAGCATTGCTATCATATACATTTAATAGGAACAGTTCTGTGTAAGCATTGCTAACATATACACTTAATAGGAACAGTTCTGTACATTTGTAAGCATTGTCATCATATACACTTAATAGGAACAGTTCTGTGGAGGCATTGCTAACATATACACTTAATAGGAACAGTTCTGTGTAAGCATTGCTAACATATACACTTAATAGGAACAGTTCTGTGTAAGCATTGTTATCATATACACTTAATAGGAACAGTTCTGTGTAAGCATTGTCATCATATACACTTAATAGGAACAGTTCTGTGTAAGCATTGCCATCATATACACTTAATAGGAACAGTTCTGTGTAAGCATTGCTAACATATACACTTAATAGGAACAGTTCTGTGTAAGCATTGCTATCATATACACTTAATAGGAACAGTTCTGTGTAAGCATTGCCGTCACATACACTTAATAGGAACAGTTCTGTGTAAGCATTGTCATCATATACACTTAATAGGAACATTTCTGTGTAAGCATTGTCATCATATACACGAAATAGGAACAGTTCTGTGTAATCATTGCCATCATATACACTTAAGAGGAACAGTTCTGTGTAAGCATTTTCATCATATACAATTAAAAGGAACAGTTCTGAGTAAGCATTGTCATCATATACACGAAATAGGAACAGTTCTGTGTAAGCATTGCCATCATATACACTTAAGAGGAACAGTTCTGTGTAAGCATTTTCATCATATACAATTAAAAGGAACAGTTCTGAGTAAGCATTGTCATCATATACACGAAATAGGAACAGTTCTGTGTAAGCATTGTTATCATATACACTTAATAGGAACATTTCTGTGTAAGCATTGTCATCATATACACTTAATAGGAACAGTTCTGTACATTTGTAAGCATTGTCATCATATACACTAAATAGGAACAGTTCTGTGTAATCATTGCCATCATATACACTTAATAGGAACAGTTCTGTGTAAGCATTTTCATCATATACAATTAAAAGGAACAGTTCTGAGTAAGCATTGCTATCTTTCTATCAATAGTTGGAACAGAGTATTGTCGCGTGCTGATTGGCAAACAAAGTAGTACATTTATGTACTTTGAAATTCTAACAAACACTTCAATTTTATACCACAATTCAGTATCACTTCAATTGCGTATGATATGTCTAAAGGGTGATTTAAGTTTATCAATGGAACTCTGAACTGAAAGTTAAGATTTGAAATTGTTTCAATTTTCACACGGAACAAATTTCGTGCATGGATAAATACAGTGAACACTGTAAATCCGACCTTGCCCTCCATGAGGGAGTTATTTTTGGAAGTTAATTCCAACTTTTCTCTTTGCTCATTTTGTGAAGAATCCAGACGTGATTTTATTTGTTGATTGTATGGGAATCTGACTACAGTCGGTAGATTCTGTAACAGTCTCGATATTTGACATGACGTCAGAAACTGAGGAAACCGTGGCTGCGATATGCGTGAAACTGATAGTGTTTGAAGTGAGTAATCTTGCGATGGAGCACAGGGGTTCGTTACAAATGTCTGAAATGTTTATGTGTGCTGTGACTCATATCAGTAGGTCTGTAACATATGTGTCAGTAGGTCTATTGAATGTGTATTTCAGACAATTGTACCCTGTTGATCAGTGCAGTGTAACAGACGATATTTCTGATAAATTGCATGAGTGTTAAAATTGTTTCCATTGCCGGCATTGGTGAGTTCAACCAATGTGCATTTTGTACGATATTGCAGACATTGGTCTTGTTTTTGTTGTAATAAAAGTATTTTTTCTTTTCTTTTTTCTATTGCACATAAATTTACAATGACATTGTCAAGTCTCACAATGCCCAGCGATATTTCAGCAGCCGTCATATTTATTTACATTGGATATTGTAGTTTCTGGTCAGTGTTGTATTAATACGCTAAGAATTGTGTCTCGTGATGCATGCTAATTAAAGTTCCATCAACGACACAGCTTTCAAAGAGGCTATATAGTGACAATGCCATGCAAATGTAAATATATACATTTAATAGGAACAGTTCTGGGCAAGCATTGCTAACATAAAGCTTGTGCTCAGACAAATATCCAGTTATTGTCAAGTATCTGTTATTATCAAGTATAAGCTTATGTCAAATGCAAGTACCAGTTATTATCAAGTACCATTGATTGTCAAATGCCAAGTACCAGTTATTATCAAGTACCATTGATTATCAAATGTCAAGTACCAGTTATTATCAAGTACATACTCTTTATCAAGTACCTGTTACTGTCAAATATCAATTATTAAACCTGGTTATTATTGAGTGTAAGTTGTCAAGTTCTTATTTCTTAAGTATTGGTTCTTATCGAGTACCAGTTATTATCAAGTACCAGTTATTATCAAGTACCATAATTTTTGAGTATCACTTTTCTGTAAAATATTCACTAATTTGTTGACAAGTCTGGATTAGATGCCCAAGTTTCGATGTAACATACCACACAATGGTGAATGGTTCAAAGTGCTAGATTTCACATTGCTATAGGGATCATTCAAACCAAATGTATAAGCAAAACTGTGCAAACACCAATAGTATTTTCAATGCTGCAAAATGACAACAAATAAATTTAGTTTACAATCTTTTTTTCACATGTCATCTTTCTGTGTAGAAATTGTATGTACCAAGACATGGATACAACCATTCATCTTTAGCTAATACTCAAATTAGACCTCTTCTTCAGATGTCATTAACGCATAAAATGCAGGTCAAATTTGGTAAGTGTTTTCCATGCAGCAATCATTGTAACCTAGGTATGGGGTTAACGTGATAGGAAGGAAGTTCCTGAACTGTAAAAGACAGATAAAATGAAGCACCTGCCACATGAGTTTCGTAGAGTGAACTTAGCTTCATCAGTGACGCAAACATTGTCCATGTAGCATCTATATATAATGTAGCTAGTTATTTAATTATGGACTTAATGTTTCATGATGCTTTTTTCACTGAAGTGTAAAATGTAGGTCAAATTAAGCATCCACAAAATGCATTCAATAAAAAAAAACCAGCTGTTTCATTGATGAAACTATTATCCATGTAGCGCTTGTAAATGGTGTAGATGGAATATTAATTCACTGAGGTATAAAATGTAGGTAAAATTCAGTATGTGCAACATGACTGCCGATACAAGTATTATCAATGCAGCACATGCAGTTATGTTCCATGACCAATGTGTTTGTATGAGGACTGTTTTTCACTGGAGTGTAAAAATGTAGGTCAAATTCGTCATCCACGATGCGCATTCAGCAGAGTGACTCTAATTGCATCATTGATGCAAGTATTACCCACTTACCATCTACAGTACATCAGTATGGACTCAACTAATTTGCTTAGTGTGATATGTGAAGGAATGTTTAGTGAAGTCAATGAAGCAAAATGTAGGTCAAATTCATAATCTAGAACACACCTTCAGTGGAGTGATTGAGGCCGGTCACGCATACAGTTTAATACCAAGATATGGACCTATTATCAGATTTCTTAATTTCATATATGGGGGATATAAGAAGGTACCCGAAGTAAAAAATGTAGGTAGAATTTAGCATCTGCAACATGTCTTCATTTAAATAACCCAAGCTGCAATATTTATGCAGGTATTATCTCCATTAAGCACTGATAGCTACCTAGATATGAACTTTATTTTTCTTAATTTGATATACGAGGTTTATAAGGCAGTTTGATTTCATTTTGTTTAATGTCCTACTTACAGCAACCGATTTTTTTTCATATGCATAACCTGTCTGCTAGTGTGCACAGATATTGTAACTGGCAAACAAATTTGGTTACATACACATTCTAATAATGTTAGTTTTGAAGAAGAGTAGCAAATTCAAACACATCACAGACATTTTTTTAAATCGTATTGAACATTTGGAAAATTAAGTTTCTCCAAGGAGTGGTGGTTGTTATTATATTAATTCGACTAAATTAAAGAAAAGGCAAACAGAGGCTCACAATCATTTGCAACCTCCTCCTCCTCCTCCCCTCCCC